TATAATCTGCCCTCCTTTGTTCCCGTCTCCTCCCTTTGAATTCAGGCTCAAAAGTATTTAGAAGGACTTTGTTGGGTGCTTCAATGCTATTTTGCAGACGTTCCATCATGGAGATGGTAAAATAAAATCTTTAAATATACTGAACAATAGCTTAATAGCTTATTTCATTGTTATGGATTCTATCTATCTCATTCTCATGCACAATTTTTTTTTTTGAACAAATGCTCCCATTCTACCATGTCTTATCTTACAACCTTTTGCAGGTACTACCCATTCTATGTTGCTCCTTTCGTATCTGATCTCAAAGGTCTATCTAGGGTCGAGATATCTTTCATTGTGGACAAACCATTACGACCATTTGATCAGCTTATGGCAGTTTTACCAATGCGAAGGCACATTAATTGTTCTTACTGCTGCCATGCGTGTTATTTTATAGCATTTTCTGATGTAAGAGTTGATAATTTCAACCCTGCACCCCTTTCTGCAGCTGGTGTGCTCTTCCAAAATGTTACAATAAAATAATGGGCCGCAAAGAATTTGACTACCCGAGGTTGGAGCCTGACACAGAGGGGAAACATTTCTTGTGGAATGTAAGTTATTAGTTCATATGTGCAATGGATCGATGAACTGAATCAACTGATACTTTCAATCTGTAGTGATCAAGTAGCGATGCACTTGGGCAATGCTGATTTTCAAATTGTTTCAGGGTATCTCTGAGGAACTGCTGCTTTCGGCCACCAAAGCGGTAGATAAAGAGCTCACGGTAAAACAATCACTTGTCATCTGTGCTCATGACCTCATGTTACACTAGTTTTACTGCTGTTGCATAAACCATAGTCATATTTAGTTTTCCCGTTGGCTTGTTACTGAATTAGACCCATGAATCGAGACGGAATACCACTAGGCAAGAGAAGATCTTTCTGCACAGGGACTCAAGCTCTCTGCCACACAATGAAGTTACTGAACAGACATCGGACTGTTCAGTGCAGAAGCTTCCGATAGATTCAGCTACGAGGTGCACAAAGTTTGAACATGATGTAAATTAGTACCAATGCATTTTTTAAGTTGACATTTTGTTCAGTTCTGTGGTCTCTATTCTTTTTTATTTATTTATTTTGCATAGTGGAATTGGAGGATGGATAGCGCCTGATGACAATGATGGCTTCAGCGACGGTTTCTTCCACTCGCCCACAACAAACCTGCAGGACATTACGAGTGATCAGACAATGTATGTTTCCTCTCGAGCTTACTGTCTTAAGGCGACAACTTGGAACATTAGTTACGTTTTGGGTGTTCATGTTTCAGATCAGGTACGTTCTTCAACCCTGAGGCAGAAAATCCAGTTCCAAGACTACTTGGCAATGTCAGAGTACCTGACAAGGTGCATTCACGAATACTACAGTACATATTTAGTTGCTTATTATTCCAATCTACATTGGAGCTGTTTTCGTCAAACGATCGATCATGGTCTTTGGAACTCACGAACTATCAATTATGCAGACTGTTACCGGAGCCGACATCTCGAAGCGGCCACTCTGGCACACGTACCCGGGCTCAAGGCCGCCGCGCATGTAAACTCAAAATCTTGTGAACTGTGATGGATCGATTCATTCATCTTCTGTATATATTGCCGGAGCCTGACCACATGTCGTTCTCGTTTCTGACGAGGGACGTACTACTTGCAGCATTCAGAGGCCGGACACCATCTGGAAGCCGAGCACGCCGGCGTCGCCACGGGAAGAGCACAAGAACGCTGGCACGGGTTGGATCGGGCGGGGGAGAGGAAACGCCCTTGCTGCCGCCACCGCCGCCGTCGAGACGCAGCTAACAAGGAGCAGCAGCTACAGGAGAGGGGGTGGTTTCCATCGGGTGGGCATGGCACAAAGCCGAGGAAGCAGCAGCAGCAGGTTCGACGACGACGGTGCGTACAATTTCCGGCCGCTTGGAAGTGCGCCGTGGACCGCCGGAGATAGCGGCCGAAGCGGAGGCGCCGGCCATGGCGGGACTGCCCAGCCACGTGGTTGGTAGGAAACTAGCTCCAGGAATCAAAGATGCTTGGTGATCTCATCTCACCGTATACATTTTGTGCCGACTGGATATATATCTACGTTTCTTCTCTACGGATGTAGTGCTCGATATGTACGTTGATTAACCGTTGATCTAGATGTTAATTATCACATATTACCTCGTAGAAGGTAATATAAAAAATATATAATAAATAAGGAATATCTTCTTATTAAATCTATCTAATATAAATGAATGATCTAACTTTCCTACTTGATGAAGCCTGACAAGTAAACAGGACTCAGCGTGTGTTCTGACTATTTCACTGCTGTCTAGTACAATACTTGTTCCATATAGTAGTAGTATTGTACTTCCTCTATTCCAAGTTATAAGTCGCTGTGATTTTTTGGTACATCGATTTTGCTATGTATCTAGATATAACGTATGTCTAAAGACATAGTGATTTTGCCATGTATCTAGATATAACGTATGTCTAGATACATAACAAAAATGAATATATCAAAAAAGTTAAAGCGACTTATAATTTGGAACGGAGTAATTTGGAACGGGGAGAATAGTAATGAATTAGCTCGGAATAATGAAGTGTAAGCTACAGATACGTCACGTATGAAGCCATTTAGTCATGAAGTGTAGCCAATTAATTGACCATTATCATGGCTAACGGTCTTCCTAACAGCTTTCCAACGTGCATAAATGGCTGTTACACGTCACATTGTCACGTATGTTTTCCAACTGGTTTTGGCCTTAGCTCGCTGCTTCGCTAGGCACGGCGCAGATTGGGGTCAGTCAGATAGGCAAATAAGACAAAGAAAAGGAGGGCACTGATCACGGGGATGCCCGAGATAGCTGGATGGTATTTTTGTTTCTCGATTACTTTAATCATTTAATTGGTTTGTATTTTTCTTTTTTAGATATATCAAATATGAAACAATCTTTTGAGTGTTTTATCAAAAAAAAATTAAAGGGTTCAAGCTCTTACGTCCTAGAGAGTACTGGGAGCATCGTAGCAGTAGCATACTAGTTTTCCACCCTATCCTAAACATTGTGACAGAAACTTTTAACCAGTGGCGATCCATGATTATGACACCAAAGGATGGTGATGCAACCAACCAACGACCATGGTGTCTAGAATGTGACGAGGTCTAGACAGACGAGGCACGACAGAGCAGGTTAGGCATGTCAGCTCATGCATGGTCGGGCAAACCGCGGTGACCACGCACAACCCATAGCCCGAGTCTCAAGCTTAGTTACTTGCTATTGTGTGGCTTAGTTGGTTTGGTTAGGGACTCTCCCCCTCGTCTCTCCTGTGTCTCGCGCTCGCACCTGCCATCCCCTAGCGATATCGTGCGGGCAAGAGCTCATGCCAGTGCTAGGTCAAGAGCTCAGGCAGCTGCTAGGCCATTGTCACCCACCACCACTATCAACCTCTCATAGTGCATTGTTATTAAGGTAAATGACCTCGACCAACCAACCAATGCCATGATGTCTAGTATTCGACGAAGCTGCACAAATGAAGCATGGCAATTAAGGTACGGTTAGGTACGCCAAGTTGTGCACATTGGGCGAATCGTGGTGACCATGCATGGCCCATTGCCCGAGTCTATCTAGAGTCAAGCTTAGCTAGTTGCTATTATGTGTCTTAGTTGATTTGATCAAGGACTCTCCCTCATGCCTCTCTTGTCTCGCTCTCGCACCTGCCATTGACACCGTCGGGCAAGAGCTCAGGATAGCGCTACGTCAAGAGTTTAGGTCGTTGCTAGGTCATTGTCGCCCACCACTGCTATCAACCGCTCCCAGTGCATTGTTGTTAATTAAGGTAAAAGACATCAACCAACCAATGACCATGGTATCTAGTTTTCAACGAGGCTACACAGACGAGGCATGACAAGGTAGCGGTTTGGTGTGCCGGGTCGTGCACGTCGTGCGAATCGCGGTGATCACGCATGGCCCATAGCCCGAGTCTATTTAGAATCAAACTTAGGTAGTTGCCGTTATGTGGCAGTTGGTTTGGCCCAAGACTCTCCATCGTGCCTCTCCAGTCTCGCGCTTGCACCTGCCACCATTGGTGACACCATGCGGGCAAGAGCTCATGTCGGTGCTAGGTTGTTGTCACCCACAACTACTATCAACCTCTCTCAGTACATTGCTATTGCTATTAAAGTAGAAGACCTCAAAAGAGAAACTCCTCGAACCTTGACATCATAGACCCTATAATACCGCTCCATTACTTTTGGTTGCCAACAAGAGAGGTTTTTTAATAACCATCTCTGAAATTCGTACCCATGGGAAATCGAACCTATGTGTTGGAGGTGCCACTCATAAGTCACAACCACCATGCTATCAACCGAGTGATTCAACCAAACCAATGATCATCGTGTCTAGAATGTGAGGAGGCTGCGCAGCGATAGAATGAAGCAATTCGTGGGAGAACCATTATAAACCACCTGTGCTGACCATGATCTCACCTGAACCAGCTAGCGATATCTAAAAAAATTTAGCAACCTGAATCATACAGTTTACAGGGACGACTATATATATATATATATATATATATATATATATATATATATATATATATATATATATATATATATATATATATATATATATATATATATATATATATATATATATATATATAAGATACAGAAAATGCATGTAGCCATGTAGGAAACATGAGTCACCCAAAAAAGATCGCTATTGACCCGAGATGTGACCCTTGAATCTTGATTTGATTGATATTTACAAGAACTGAGTTCTTAACCAACTAATGAATATAAATCGAAGCCAAGAATTTACAAAAATCTTGCATGGCCTAGTAGCTAACATCATCCATGGATCCATGGATGATTGATCAATACATCACTAGTTGGTACTACACACTACTCGCATCATCTCTAAAACGAAACCAAAGAATCACACCTAAACCTAATAGTGGCCTACTAGCTACAATTAACCTGACCGGGGTGTCACTGTCACAAGCCTGCTGCTGATATGTACGCGCGCACACCCATGAACCCATCATCATCTTTCTCCGTACGATCATCTTCCATCGGCTGTTGTTCCGACGGCTTCTCCTCCGTCGCCGCCTTCATCTGCTGCTCCCTGAGCTTCATCACCTTCCGGTGGCGATTGGAGTGCTGCCCGCTCCGGAAGCTAGGAGCCGTCGACGGCCGGTACTCCGGCAGCAGCCTGTTCGCCGCGTAGCGTATCCCACACGCGTTGCACAGCGTGCCCGGCCCGTCCGGGCCTGCGCGCCACTGCGGCGTCTCCGGCGAGTGGCAGTGGCTGCATACCCTCTGCGCTTGCCTGTTCCTCTGGCGTGGCCCGGGGCGGCGCCGGCGGATACCCCCGCCACCGGCAATGTCGTCACCGCCGGTGTTGCCCGGAGGATGAGGAGGAACGACAGGCACCAAGGCGTACCGGTTCTTGGCATCGTCGTCGTCACCGCCGGCGCCGGGGTTGGCCGGAGGAGGAGGAGCGACCGGCGGCAAGGCATGGAGAGGGAAGTCGAGCACCCAGGGCCGCTTGCGGCGGTTGACTGCTGGTGGGCTCCGCTGCTTCCTCGGCACAACCCAAGCACGATGGGGTTGCAAGAACTCGGGCTCCGATGTTGCTGATGACGGGCAGCGGCCCGAACCGGAAGACGCGCGGGACGGTGGCGACGACGATGGCGTGGCTGACGGAGGGGCGTGCGCCGGCGCGTTGGTGCTGGAGTAAACGCCGGCCAGCGCGGCGGCGTTCGGGTGGAGAGCACGTGCTGGCAGGAGCGCCATCAGTGGCGGCGGCGCAGGCGCGCTGTTAGAGACAATGCCGGGCAACGCGCCGCACGCGTGAAGACCAGCAGCTGGCATGGGAACCGGCAATGGCGGCGGTGCAGGCGCGCAGTTAGAGGCAATGCCGGGCAACGCGCCGCACGCGTGAAGACCAGCAGCTGGCGGCATGGGCGCGGGAGCAGCTGGCATGATGAGCGCCGGCAATGGCGGCGTGCTGCTGTTGGTGACAAAGACGGGCGGCGTGCTGTTGTTGGTGACAAAGACGGGCGGCGTGCTGTTGTTGGTGACAAAGACGGGCGGCGCACCACCCGCTTGCACGGGCGCCGTCGTCGCCGGCGGCGGCGACGCGGACGCGTTGTTGAAAACGGCGCCATCGAACGCACGGCACGCGTCGTACGCTTGGAGGGGGGAAGCGCCAGCTGGCATGGGCGCGGGCAACGGTGACGCGTCATTGGGGACGACAGCGCCGCCCAACGAGCCGCGCGTGTGAACGGGACCACCAGCAGCTGTGATGTGCGCCGGCGGCTTGGGCTTGGCTTCCGTCGGGTCGCAGAGCAAGTTGCCTTCGGTCGCTTCCCCGCCGCCGCCGCCGTCCAGCGCGTCGTCAGCAAAGAACATGTCCACGTCAATTTCCTCGAGGCCGCAGAGTCCCTCAAGAGGGAAGCTGGACAAGCCCCAAGAATCCCACCCGTCGCCGACGCCGACGCCGCCATACGCGCTCTCCGCCAGCGGCTGCGGCGGCTCCGGCTCCTGCTTAACCCTACGGGGCGGCTCTCCACCGCCGCCGCCTATGCCGAGCGCGGCCAGCGACGACGGCGGCGCTCGGTCCGCGGCGGTGTGAGCGGGGAAGAGCTGGAGGACGAGGTCGAGCGGGTCGTCGGGGCAGCACAGCCCGCGCCCGGGGAAGCAGGCGCCGGCCGTCCCGTCGCAGTCCGGGAGGTCGCCGGCGGGGACATCGCGCTGCGAGGCGTGAGGTTGTTGCGTGCGCATGCGGGGCGGACCAGGCCCAGAAGCATCGGCTGCCTTGCCTCTTGATTCTTGGTTCTTGCTCGCTTGGTTGGTTAGCAAACGGAGCGGCGCATGTCTAGGGCTTGCGTCGGCGGCTGAGAGGAGATATTCGGGGGCGGGATGCGGGCGGGCGGGCGGGCGGGCGAGACGCGTCACGCGTGCGAGAGAGAGAGAGAGAGAGAGAGAGAGAGGAAGGAAACGAATAATCGATGTTTCGGTTGGACGGGGGAGACGAGATAGGGACGATGTTTCGGTTGGTCGGTTGGATGCGGGAGACGACGAATCAGGGGCCTGGGCCGGGCCGTGTTACGCTTCCCACTACTGGGCCATCAGATTTATGATTTGATATGATTAATATATCTTAGAAAAATCATATTTTTTACGATATTAAACGAAGATAATTTTTATAGTTTTGAGTTTTTCCATTTGAAGTCATTAAGATACTAAAAAAAATTAATAGCATATCCAGACCTAAGGGTATTTTTGACTTTTCACACCTGCAGTTTGACACCGTTAGAGCCCAATCTGACGGCAGTGGCATGGAGGGCAAAATTTTTTTGGAGCAGTGGTGCTGAAGCCCGCTGAACTTTTTCAACGGCTCACAGAAAATTACAATCTTTTTTAATGGCTCATAAAAAATTCTCTTTTTTTTCGCAAACGAGGCAACAACCTGCCTTGCATCCCTATTAACGGGATGTACAGCTAGGCTTACTATTGTTTCGGTTTGGACGTTGTAGAGGAATTTGGAATTTGTAGGGAAGAAACTTCCATAGATAAGTCTCCTGTATATTCAGTTTCACACGGAGAATCCTGTGTATAGACGCTGAGTACGTACACGACCAGCCAGCGTATGGCATGCACCGCACCTGACATTTAGGTGGCTACAGTACCCACTTTTGTTTTTGCCTGGTGCATTTTGGGCGCTTTTTGCGTGGAAAATTGAAATTATGGTGCACATGTCGTATGTATCCTAAAATTCAATATAAATTTGTTTTCAAAACAATATATGTTGCGAAGAAGCTTCCACATACACGTACTCCCAAGTACTCCATCCGTTCTAAATTATAAGTCGGGAATCGGAAAGGATCGAGGGGGAATCAGAATCTCCCTTATTCCCCTCCAATTGACCGATGGAGATAACGCCAAACATAGGATTCTCAACTTTAGGATGCAACACCAACTCCGAAAGGAGGTCCCAGAGATTAAGATATCCAGGATGACGGCCACAATGAGTGCGCCTTGAATCTCCGAAATCTAGTTTATAATATACATAAGGACCTCAACAATGTCCTTTTCTTTGAATGCCTCTTGGAAAATATGGCGAATAAATTAGGGGCGGGCATAAGCTACACTATGTCCATCGCAATAGTCTAGAACAATACATTTTTCCATTTCACAACCTCTGAAATAACTACCATAGAAAAGAAAGCCCCAACCAAAACAAAGGACATGAATAGGAAATGCTTGCCCATGGCCGGTCAGACCCTATTATCTGCAACTAGAGCCATCACATTCTAAGGGCCAACTCAAAATTACTATACTTAAATAAGAGACCTCAACTAACAAACTCCTCTGCAATTTCATAAAGCCATGGCAGCAATCTCCTTACCATCTATCAAAGAGCAATGTCCACAACTCACATTTTTTTCTTCCTTTCCAAAGGAACCTCTTAGAGTCTTTTTTTTTCTCAATGGGGGTTTTAACCCGTTTTTTCATCAAGAGGAAAGGAGTTTTTAAAAAATATATATATTACAAAGACGATCTACGACGGTGGAGAGAGGCCATCGAAGGCGATACGCCGAGCCCTAGCTACTAAATTTACGCATGCTTATTACATATGATCCGAATTTTGCGACTAGACCGCGCATGGTAGAGCTATCGTCCTACTAGGCGGTAATGAACAGCCCTAATAAATTACCGCCATCGCTGGGAAAAGCACCTCCATGCCTCCCACGTCGAAGGCGTGAGCGGTAGAGTGAAGGCCGCCTGTAATTCCTGGAACGATGCTTCATCAGGTAGTTGCGTCTCTACCTCAACGCCCAGGCGCTTCATCATGACCTTCCTTGCCTGTGCTTCCGGCTTTGGCTCTCGGAACCTACTCTTCGCAGCAAGACGAGCGCTCCGCTTGGGGATGAGCTCCTCATCGTCGAGCTCCCTCGCCGCCCGGGTGATCCTAAGTCGTGGCGGGGATGAGAGAATGGGTTGCGACAGAGGATTCCTGAAGGTGTTGACCAAGTCATCGATCGTCATCGGCACCACCGTTGGCGCTGTCTTAGAATCTTATTAATGGGCATGAATGTCCAGGGTGGCAAGCCTAAGGCCATAACCAAGTAGAGCAATCTGAACAAGAATTCTGCTCCTAGACACAAACACTTAACCTTATATATGCCATCTATTTTTACATTTTAGACAAGTTTAAAGTGTAATGTATATACACATTAAGTTTAAGTTTAAAGATGTTAAGTATTATAAGTGGAACAAGTCAAATGAATGACAATTCGGTTTAGGCTAATTAATTAGACGTTTCTCATTGCAGGGTCTAAGCCCGAAACATCAGGGGTGTGGCGCTGGCTACATGGGCTTCCCTCGTGGTGATGGGCTGGGAATGGAATTTGTAGGATGCGAACCTAGTATTTTGGCCGTCAAGGCAACTATGGCTTCACGTGCCACCCAATTACGCTAATAGAATGGATATTCTATTTTTTAAAGATTCTGGAGAGGCCGGGGCTCCTACAGTAAAAAGGATATTCTTCTATATTGATACTAAAGATGACGATGATGATAATAATAATAATTGGCTGTAGGAATCATACCCTGAACATTGGCTGTGTTTGTTTGATGTTTGAGTTTAGTGAGAAGCTGAAAGAAAATGAGAAAGTTCATTTTTAAGAAACTATTTTTTTCAAAAAAAATGTTTGCTTTTTAAGCAAATACTCCCTAACTTTTGAACTTGCTTCTCAGAAAAAAGTTTTTTTTTTAAAATCCATACACACACACATTGGGAAAAACTGGAGTACGCTCTCCGTACGTGTCATGTGAATGTGATGAAAAAAAAAAGAAAAGGAAACAGTACAAGACAGCCAGAGTACGCAGCAATTGAGGCCATCGTTGCCCAACCCGCCCACCAGCACCTGCGCCCGGCGCCCAACCCGTGCACCCCACGCCGCCGCCGCCGCCACCGCCACCGCCACCGCCGTCGCCGTCTTCCAGCTCTACGCTCACACACTCACATCCCCCACGTCGCAGTACTCGCGGCCAGCGTCTCCGCCCACCTCACGTAATCTGCTCTGCTTCACCGATCCGGAGGCGGACGCAGCGCCGCCGTTCGTGCCCGCGCCGCGCCAGTTGCCGCGCGCGTGGGCCCTCCGTCGGCATGTCCCGCGGTGCGAGCGCCGTCAGCGACCGGTGCTCGGAGCTGGAGCGCATCATCGCGGGCCGAGCCAGGTCGGGGAGCCTTGGACTCGACGACGCGCTCAAGCTGTTTGATGAATTGCTGCTCCACGCCAGGCCCGCCTCGATTCGTGCTTTCAACCACCTGCTTAACGTTGTCGCTCGGTCCCGATGCTCTTCAACCTCCGAGCTCGCCGTCTCGCTCTTCAACCGGATGTCCCGTGCCTGCTCCAACAAGGTGCGTCCAGACCTGTGCACATACAGCATCCTAATTGGCTGTTTCTGTCGCATGGGTCGCCTGGAGCATGGCTTCGCGGCCTTTGGCCTCATCCTTAAGACAGGCTGGAGGGTGGATGACGTAGTCACCAATCAACTACTCAAGGGCCTCTGTGATGCCAAGAGGGTGGACGAGGCCAAGGAGATATCGTTCGGAAGAATGCCTGAGTTTGGCTGCAGGCCGGATGTAGTTTCCTACAACACACTTCTCAAGGGTTTATGCAATGAAAAGAGAGCTGAGGAGGCACTTGAGCTTCTGCACACGATGGCTGATGATGGAGATGGAAGCTGCACACCAAATGTTGTGACATACAACACAATCATTGATGGCCTGGGCAAAGCTCAAGCAGTTGACAGGGCCGAGGGCGTCCTTCAGCAGATGATTGATAAAGGTGCTAAGCCAAATATCCAGACATATACCTGTCTGATCCATGGGTACCTATCTGCAGGACAGTGGAAAGAGGTGGTTCGAAGGCTCGAAGAAATGTACACACGTGGTCTTGACCCAAATGTTGTTACTTATGGTTTGCTGCTGGACTATCTATGCAAGAACGGAAAATGCACAGAAGCCGGGAAGATTTTTGATTCTATGATTAGGAAGGGCATAAAACCTGATGTAACTATCTACAACATTCTTCTTCACGGGTATGCTTCTAAAGGAGCCCTTGCTGATTTGCACGATCTCCTAGATTTGATGGTAGAAAATGGTATTTCACCTGATCATTACACCTTCAACACTGTGTTCTGTGCATATGCTAAAAAGGCAATGATAGATGAGGCAATGCATATTCTTAGCAAAATGAGGCAGCAAGGATTGAGTCCTAATGTAGTCACTTATGGAACATTAATAGATGCACTTTGCAAGTTGGGAAGAGTGGATGAAGCTGTGCTTAAATTCAATCAGATGATCAACGAAGGAGTGACACCTGACATTGTTGTTTTTAACTCCCTGATTTATGGACTCTGCGCCGTCGACAAATGGGAAAAGGTCGAGGAATTATTTTTTGAAATGTTGGATCAAGGAATCCGTCCTAACATCGTGTTCTTCAACACAATAATGTCTAACTTATGCAATGAAGGACGGGTCATGGAAGCCCGGAGTGTCATTGACTTGATGGAACGTGTAGGCGTGAGGCCTGATGTTATCTCATATACTACATTAATAAGTGGCCACTGCTTAGCTGGTAGAACTGATGAAGCTGCAAAGTTACTTGATGTTATGCTCTCGGTTGGCTTGAAACCGAACATTTTATCCTATAATACATTGCTTCATGGCTACTGTAAAGTTGGCAGGATTGACAATGCATATTGTCTTT